GTTCTGGGATCGAGTCCCACATCGGGCTCTCTGCTCGGCAGGGAGCCTGCTTCCCCCTCTCTCTCTGCCTGCCTCTCTGCCTACTTGTGATCTCTGTCTGTCAAATAAGTAAATAAAATCTTTAAAAAAAAAAAAAAAGAAATCTCTCTGGAAGTCTCAAAATCATTTTCCCAGGGGTGCCTCCTGTGGGCGATACCACAGCTGGGGAAACAGCACGGCCTGTGTGTGCTCCCTGGGGTCCAGGTCCGGGCCAGGTCTCAAGCAAGCAGGCCGTGTGGTGGCACGGTCTCAGACGGTGGCCACCTGAGCCCATCAGCTGCGGCCCAGCCCAGAGATTTCGCTGCATATCATTCTTACCATCCATCTTCACAGTTATAAAGATGGGCTTGGAGTAGATCTCAGCCTCCTTCTGCCAGGAACCCGTCGGGGACTTGACCCACGGAGTCACAGAGCAGTAGTAGTTGCCAAAGTCCTGGTCCTCAGAGCCGTGAACTTGCAGCAAGAATTCCAGCACGCTCACACGCTCCAGGCTGAGCTCGCTCTTCCCGTCTCTCTCCGCCGTGGTCACAATCCCCTTCCGATCGAGAGAAGACAGGAGGACGGGAGCCTTGTCCAGACCGAAGGAGTGCACCGCAAACCAGGACACATCAAAGGCCATGTCGTCTGTGGATAACAGACCAAGCCGGAACCCTGAGTCAGTGCAACCGGCAGAAATCGCACGTGTGGCTAACACACGCATCACATCACCGGGGGCCAGCATGGCTCACCACGCCTTAGGCCAGGCCAGCCCCACGATGAAGGCACTGTCACACTCCCCACCACGGTGGGGCCCAACACCTTGTTCCAGGTCACAGAGCCAGGAGCAGCACAACATGCAGCTTCACCCAGGGACTGAAGCTCCAGAGTCCTCCCTCTTAACCATGCCGCCACCACCACCCAACCCAAGACGCACCCAAAACCATCTCCCGCAGGGATCATAGGACATAAAGGGGCTAGGCGGTGACAATCTCAAAGCAGGGTCCTCTGACATGTCAGGCAGAAGAGCCCAAGACTGGAGGACACTAATGTAGTTAAGAATGAAAGGTACATAAAGTGAACCAGACAAAATTTAGAGTCATAGCAGGTTAAGGGTTTCTTATTTGTTTTGGGGTCTTGGGGTTTTTGGTTTTTTTTTTTAAGATTTTATTTATTTACTTATCGGAGAGAGAGAGAGAGAGAGAATGAGTGCGCACAAGCAGGGGGAGCAGCAGAGGGAGAGGGAGAAGCAGGCTTCCCGCTAAGCAGGGAGCCCAATACGGGGTTACATCCCAGGACCCTAGGATCACGACCTGAGCCAAAGGCAGATGCTTAACTGACTGAGCCACCCAGGCACCCCAACAGTTTGGGTTTTATGGTCCATTGTGTTTTTTCCCCTGCAGATGTGCTTAAGTTCAAAACAAGAGGAAAACACGTCCAGCTGAGAAAGTGGAACACCGTTAACAGTCCCAGAAAGGAGGCTGCTGCATCTCAAAGGACTCTGCGAAGTTAAGGTTCTAACAGCTTCAAACAAATGAACATGGGCACAGGAGAAGGAAGACTCTGGCATGTGAAGACGGAGGACACACCGTAAGGCCCTGACCTCTTCTCTTAGCCATTCCCTAATGACACCTGCCATGTTGGGCCTGGGGCGCATTCAGCAGGCAAGGAAGGACGGCAAGGCCACACACACTTTCTATCTTAAATTCACCTGATAAGGCTTTTTATATAAATGTTAAATGATACCATTTTTGTTACACAAAAAGTAATATTTATTCAGTTTGCGAAAACATACTAACAACCTCAAAATCACTACACACCCTCACACCCTCACGGTGTGCTGCCTTCACGGGCAGGGGCTGCGTGGACCTGGAAGGCAAGAAGTCACAACTGTGTCGCCGATACTCAGGCGCAGAGTCTAGCCCCAGTCCCGCCAGGTGTCATGGAGCTGTGGTCAGCTTGCAGGGCCAGGCTAGAGCGCCAGACTCCTGGCACCAGCCCCTGCTGGCCATGTGGCCTGGACGAGGGACTTAATGCTCTGTGATGTAGTTTCCTCAGCTAGAAAAGGAATACTAACACCTTCTCCCATGGTGAAGTGAGTCATCTCTGCCAGATGCTTAGAACCACATGTGCCTGGCACACACATTTGCCTGGCCACGAGCATCCTTATCTCCACACTAAAACACACCCAGTCCACAACGCTGCTGACAGGGAGGGCCTTCCCGCCAGCAGCAGAGGCTCTTGGTGCCTCGAACATTCTCACACCCCTACCCTCTTCCAGAGGACTGGCTTCCACGGATGGGAGCCACTTCCCGGAGATTAAGAAACATCCCTGCTCCCCAACCATCTGGACTGTGTGCAACGACTGGGGAATGGTGGGGATCTAAAAGCCCAGTGCCTTACCTCACAGAGGCTGTCCTCTGCAGTACCACCGACATTCCAGAGCTCCCCGGGGGAGTCAGACTTGCTCTGAATTCACATCTTTGCCTGGCTTCTTTCCCTGCTCTGTCTCGACTCCCTCACTCCCTGGGAGCACATCGTCAATTAACCACCTGCACGCTTGTTTCAGGCTTTGTTTCTGGAGAACCTGACCTAAGACACGGCCTCTAAAGGGCAGTGATCTGCCCTGTCCCTCCCCTCTCAGCATAGGAGTGCCCTGGCGCTCGGCCCACTTGCACGGTATGCCCTTTCCAAAAGAGAATTCCTTCACAGCCCAGCAGGTGCGTGAGGAAAAACTAAATTACAGCGTGTGCTTCATTATTCAGAATCTTCTGCCCACATAGTCCAAGAGGGCAAAGTTCTGGAAAACTGTGATCTGCATGATAACAGCCACCTATAGCTTCTGTAATCACCCCGGAGGAAGACTTTTATATTAAGGCCAAAACCGGTGACCCATTAATTTACCAAGAAAGAACATTTAAATGATTTATTTTTGTATATATCATCCAAGAGCTTCGAGGGTAAACATGGTTCCAATTTCTGAACACGATCCCCTCCCCCATTTTCTGGCAGCCTCTTCTACTCTCACTTTCGTTTTCTCTTCCTAACCCCACTCTGTGTCCCCAATCCTCCACACCCCAGCGACCTCAAGACCTGAGCTACCCACCCTTTGCCCTTAAGAACACAGCTCACCCATGGGTGGCTTGGATGGACGGATTCCTTCTCCTTTTCTTCTACCTTCTTTTCCCTACCTCTGCAGCTCAGCCATGTTTGGGTTCCCTGAGAGAGCCAGTTTGGGACCCATCAGTTTGTGCAGGTGTCAGCAGCCTACAGCCCGCAGGCCGGATCCAGCCCACCAGCTGTGCGTGTCAATAAAGCTTCATGGGAACACGGTCAAGCCCATTTGCTTACATCCCGTCTATGGCTGCTTTCACACCAACAGCCACAAAGCCGAGTAGCTGCTGCGGAGACCATCTGGCCCAGGAGGCCAAGACCTCTACTGGAGTAACTGCCGACCTGGAACTAGTTACCACCTGCATCTCTGACCCGAGGTCCCGAAGAAGCTGGATCTCGGCTGGTGGCCACTGGGCCTTTGTTCCTCGACGCCAGCTCTGCCCAGTCCCCTACTCAAGCTGTCCACTCTGGTTTCACTGCGGGCCGTCCTCACTTTGCTCACAACCAGCCCTTGCTACAAAATGAATACCCTCTTCCGCTTTCCACCCCAGGGCCACAGGCCCAGTGGTCTCTGCACAGAACGCTGAGAGCCTTGTACACTTTGGCCTTTGAAAGGTGCCAATCGGTGAGAGGCCCGGGCTTTGCCTGTGCTGGGGTGGGCGATACAAAGACACCCAAGGACAAAGCATATGGGAGAGAGTGCAGGTCCCACGCAGCGGATCAGGTTCTCCATGGTCTCATTAGGAGAAGGCAGCAGTGGGTACTGTCCTGCTTGGCAACAGACACCTTATGTGCCTTTAATGTCCCAAGGGTCTATAAGCAAGATGGGGACACCAACTGGTCACTGAAGAAAAGGTGTAAGATTGACAGGCTAGAGCTCTTAGGCAACCCATGGGCAATGCTAACATTTTTTGCAAAGAGAAGGTCTACAACGATTTCCCAAGAATTTAAACTACCAAAGTACCATCTGGTCACTTGCTGCTCGTTTACTCTGCTCCATCCTCCACCAGAGAGTTAACACCATCTGATAGTATATTATATGAGGATTGCTTTCTTGTTTATCTCCTTAACCAGGCTGCAAGCTCCATGATACGGGGCGTCTGGCCCCTCCTCTAGAACAGTGCCTGTTACTAGAAGCAGCTCAATAAATATCTGAATGAATCAAGGCTTAAAAGACAAACTAACGGAGCTGGACCCTGCTGATAGGTTTCAAACCAGCCTGAACTTGAATCAGCCCTAGAAGGGGCCTTGGACAACTCCGATTCCAACATGTGGATGGGTTTCCAAATCATCTAACAGACAGAGGCGTTCATCAGCAAGGATTTACTCAACACCTACTGAGTACCAGGTACGGAGTGGGGCAGTTCGGGGATTCGCACAGTCTAATCCGTGACCTCGGCGTCCGGGTCACACAGTGGGGATGACACGAGAGGCATTTACAGAAAGCAACATGGGCAAGGGGAGAAGACAGACAGAAATACCTGGATCCAGGGCTGCTCCTTCAACAGTGATGATACAAAACAATTTGATCAGATCTCCCCGGATGACTGACGGTGTGTCTGAGTGCACGGAGGCATTAAATACAGGCCCTGGAAGAGAGTGAGAGCCCCTCATTATTTCCGCTCATGCTTCTGTTTCAATTCTACTCCTGGCGCTCTCCCGAGCATCTGTGGGCGGCCCCTCTTCCTTGGACCTGGGCGATATGGTGTTCTCAGGCTGCTTCTCTTCTCTTCAGAGAGACAAGTGTGTCAGGCACAGCCAAATGAGCAATCACCTGAATTACACCCACAACAGAACTCTTTGTTTCTGGCTTTTCCTTTACCCCTTCTCTGATGACAACCACGGACCCCCTGGAAGGCCACCCCTACCTGCTGCCTGGGTGCCGCTTCTGGTTCTGTGTGGTTCACTTCCAGACCGAGGTGGCAGGAGAGCAAAAGGCACGGGACCGAACCAGTGACACTTCTGGCCCAGACGGAGTGAGAGGCCTCACTGTGTTGGGGACAGGGGCTCTGCCATTGGGAGGCTGAAATGCAGTCAGGAGACAGATATGCCAACCATGGCAACATTCTGTAGGGGACAGTGGGAGCACCAGAGGCCCGGCTCCAATCTGTCAGGGGACATCAAGGCAGCACGGGTTTTGCTTCAAAACACTACCCAGACTCACACACCTGCCCAAGAACATCCCCTTGATATTCAGTTCATTTTAAAAAAGACTCTTTCGGGGCACCTGGGTGGCTCAGTGGGTTAAAGCCTCTGCCTTCAGCTCAGGTCATGATCTCAGGGTCCTGGGACTGAGCCCCGCATCGGGCTCTCTGCTCAGCGGGGAGCCTGCTTCCCCACCCCTCTGCCTGCCTCTGCCTACTTGTGATCTCTGTCAAATAAATAAATAAAATCTTTAAAAAAATAAAAATAAAAAATAAAAAAGGCTCTTTCCTTCTTCCAGAGACCAAAAGATGTGTCTACCCAAACTAAGCTAACTGTGCAAGGCAGAGATGCTCCCAGTTTTGAGTTGTGAGCACAAAAATGAGCAACAAAATAGGAAGTATAAAGATTGAACACATAGAATTTAGTGCCAGAATTTAATAATATTTACCATAGAGTCTGCTGGGTGCATTTGACTGTGGGTACAATTATTGTTATGCTATTTGATGATGAGGCATAAATAAGTGAATTTATTAAATTTAAAAAAAAATATGCCTTGGATGGAAGGAATCTAGCTCCTATCCCCTTCTTAGAGAGAGGGGCTATGTACTACCTTCCTTTTTTTTCTTAAAAAACCTTTTACTCCTCAGTTTCAGGCGACAGCATCGCATAGCTTTAAGTCAACCCTATCCTAAGAGCCCGAAATTTACCTTATCCTAACAAGAACAGGCAAACCTGTAGAAGGTTCCAGAATACCAATGCCATGGGATGCTCCTTGGGTTCCCCGGGAAGCAAAAAGAGATGGTCCTGGACACTAATTCTGAAAATCATTAGATGCTAACAACACAAGTATTACTACCTTTTAAATCAGATCACCAAAAAGGAAAAATAAGTGGACTTTAACATACACAAAAATGACTGAGAAAGTGTGTAAAAGGTCATGCAAACCAATGAGGCAAAGAGCTAGAAAGGCTGTGTTTTTACTTCACTGTGAGCGGTAAGATGAACTCATCGGACTCTTTCCTCAAACCAAGAGTGGGAGCAGTTGGTGTTCTGCTGGGAGAAAAGCGAAGGGTGAATGGAGGAGATGGCAACCTAGGGAGGTGGGGCAGCCCTGAGCAGGTTGCGGTGAGAGCTCAGACTAACCAGAGAGCAGCAGAAGGGCATCAACTTCGGGCGCAGGGGAGAACGTAACAGGACGGTGGTCATGGAGCAAGGGGAAAGGAAGGAAAACAGAAGAGACAAGGAAATCTGACCTACTTGTGGGTAGCCTGCCCTTCAGTCAACCCCTCTCCCAGCCACAGTTCCCACAGGTCCTGACCACCCTGGATTTGCTCTGCTTATTGGAATGAGGTGGGACAGGATTAAGCCAGTGGCTCTGACTTGGCCCAGTGTTTATGACTGCGGAGCACTTCATACCACATATGGCCACCTGGGAGCACAGGCCAGTAGCGACTCAGGTAAGCAACAAGGACCGTGTTTTTTTGCTCTGACTAGAAATTTTGCAGTCATAAACAGAGCTACACCAATAGGTTTCTTCCAAGTGTTCGAGGCCCCTTCTAAGACCCCACAAAATGATAAAACAGAAGGACCCTTATAATGGATTTAGGTTCCTAAATTTGAAACAGCACACAAAGACTTACCAATTTGGACACATTTCACTTTCTTTTCTTTATATTTCCAAAGAAAACCCCAAATGCCTTCTAGGTCACAAGTTATGGTTCTCATTTCCCCTAGTAGCTGTGGCTGTAGGAACAAGAGAGCATCTATGCTATGGCTTGCCATGCAGACACAGGTCTGGGAAAAGGCCTTCACTGTAAAATATTCACAGCAGTGGATTTCCTTCTAATGAAATCAACAACTCACTGTTACTGTGGGTCATTATCCCAGGATTGGAAATATTTTTAATATGGTCAATTTCTGTGGTAATGCTGTTTTTGCGAGGGAATGTGTCTGGTTAACTTCACGGATGACAGACTACGGCACAGAGAATTTAAGTGAACCAGAGTCACTAGATGTCCCCCGATTCCTAGCCTCCGGAGAGTAGGTGGACCACACTCAGCTTTCTAAATACAAACGTTGACAGAACATGTTCTAACTCCAGCCCCTAAAGAGGGCTGTAAATAGCAGTCCTCTTGTGAGAGCCAAAATTGCAGACCATCTGCATGACCATCAATAGGGTTAAATGACTGACTAAATTCTAGGAGGTGTAGTAATTAAAATTATTTACCTAGAATTCGTTTTAACACAAAAGCTACTGATCTTAGAAGGTTAAAGGGGGGAAAGCAGGTCACAAAATTGTATAGACAGCCTGATCTCACTTGCATGAAGAAAACATGCAAGGGAAGATTTCTAGGAACACAAACAACACAAATGAACAGTGTCCGGTAGGCTATGGCTAATTCTTTTCCTTCTTTCTACTCTACCATATTTTCAAGCTTTTTTCTATTAAGGAGAAAAACTTTGTTCTTATTCTTCTTTAAAGGCCAACACCCTGAACACCGTAACATTTTATTTGTATTTTCCCCCTGACACTTTGGGTCAGTGAAATTCATGACTCAGCTGTGCCCCTTTGGAAACATGGTCTGCATACCAAGAGGCAAGCACCCCAATACCGGGGGAAAGAGAGGCAGACACCAGGAAGGACCTCTCTGTTATGGGTATCTTATGGTGTTGTTGCTGATTTTTAGAAAGTGGAAACTTTTCAGTATCAAGTCAGTATTTGCTGGGAGCCATTCAGGGCAAGGGCGTGGTGCTGGGTGGATTGGACGGCCACTTCTCCTAATGAAACTGTGAACTGGCCATGACAACTCTGTGGACTAAAGAAAATAAAAAAACTCAGCCAGTCTGTTCAACCTGGAAGCTCCAGTCATTTTAGCTGTTATACAGAGATGTAAAGAATTGAGAAATAGACTCAATGCCCATTCCTCACCCAGAAATACAAAAGATTTTATGTGTCCCCTGTTTCCCATAACAGTTCTAGCGAAACATCAAATAACAAATGTAAAACAAGATGGAATAAACTCCTACAGAGAATAAAACAGCAACACAAATAAAAGACAAAAACCCCATAATCATCTGACTCTCAAAAGACACAGACAAAGCATTTAACAACATCCAACATCTCTTCATGGTGAAAACACTCAACAAACCAGTAAGGAAGGGAAACTTCCCCAGCTCAATAAAGGGCATCTATGGAAAAAAACAAAACAAAAAAAAAACCAAAAAAAACAAAAAAACAGTTTCAATGACTTTTAATGGGAAAAGGTGGAAAACCTTCCCCGTAAGATCAGGAACAAGACAAGGATGTCCACTTATGCCACCACTATTCTACATTCTACTAGAGGCGCCAGCCAGGGCAATTAGGCAAGAAAAAGAATTAGAAGGTATTCACTCTAGAAAGGAAAAAGTAAAATTGTCTTTATTCACAGATGCCATTTTATTATATTTAAAACACCCTAAGAAATCAACCAAAAAACAATTAAAACTAATAGTAAGTCCAGCAGGTTGCAGAACCCAACATCAATATATAAAAATCAGCTGTGCTTCTATATATTTGCAAAGAACAAACGGAACAGGAGATTGAGAACAATTCCATTTACAACAGCGACAAAGAATAAAATACTTAGGAGAAATTTAATGAAAGAAGTTCAAGATTTGTGCACAGACAACTACCAAACACCACTCACAGAAATTAAAGAAGACCCAAGTAAACAGAAAGATGTTCCATGTTGACACATTAGAAGGCAATACTGTGAAACGGCAATACTCTCTGAACTGATCTACAGATTCAACACAATTCCTAGCAAAGCTCCAGCAGTCATCTTTGCAGAAATTAATGGGTGATCCTAAAATTCGTACAGAAATGCAAGGGACCCAGCATAGCCAAGACAACCTCTAAAAAGAACAAAGTTGGAACACTCATACTTGCTGATTTCAAAATTTATTACAAAGCTACAGTAATCAATCAAATGTGGTCTTGGTATAGGAAAAAGACATACAGAGCAATGTAACAGAACTGTGAGTCTATAAAAATCCTTACATTGATGGTTAAAGGATTCGTGACAAGTGTGCCAAGACAAGTCAAGGGGGAAGGAAGAGGCTGGTCCACAAATGGTTGACTAGAAGAACCAATGGGTGTTCACATGCGAAAGAACAAAGCTGAATTCCCATCTTCTGCTACACACAAAAATCAGGGCACCTGGGTTGCTCAGTGGGTTAAGCGTCTGCCTTCAGCTCAGGTCATGATCCCAGGGTCCTGGGATAGAGCCTCATGTCAGGCTTCCTGCTCAGCAGGGAAATCTCCCTTGGCCCTTACCCACCCTCTCCCCGCGTTCACGCACTCTTCTCTCTCTGTCTCAAATAAATAAAATCTTAAAAAAAAAAAATTAACTAGAATGGGTCATAGCACTAAAAGTAAGAGCTGAAAACTGTAAAGTTCCTTAGAAGAAAACAGAGGCATAAATCTTCACAACCTGTGATCAGGCAATGGTTTCTTAGCTAAGACAGCAAAAACACAAGCAACAAAAAGAAAAATAAACTGGACTTCATCAAAATTACAAGCTTGAGTGCTTCACGGGACACCATGAGCAAAGTGAAAAAACTACCCACAGAGTGGGAGAAGATATTTTTAAACCATGTGTCTGTTAATGGGCTTGTATCCAGACTCTCTGAAAAACTTGACTACTCAACAATGAAAAAGATGAATAACACAATTTAAAAATGGGCCAACAATCTGTATAGACATTTCTCCACAGAAGATACACATACGACCAACAGCTACATGAAAAGATGCTCAACACCAACAGTCATTAGGAAAATGCATACTAAAACCACAATAAAATACAGCCTCACACCCACCGGGTCGCCTACGATAAAAAAGATGGAGCATAACAGGGTTAGTAAGGATGTGGCACACTTAGAAGCCTCACACATTGCTAGTGGGAATATAAAAGGAGGTAGCTGCTTTCGAACACAGTTTGGCAGTTCCTCAGAGTTAAACAGAGCTTGTAAGACCCAGCGTCACTCCTGGATGAGAAATGAACTCTGATGTCTACCCCCAAGACTTGTACACTAATGTTTACATCAGCATTATTGACCGTAGCCACGAGGGTGGAAACAACCTCCTGTCCATCAGCATATGAATGGATAAACAAAATGTGGTCCATCCACACCACAGATACTGCTCAGCCATAAAAAAGAACAGAGTACTGCCGCGTGCCATCACGTGGATGGACCTAGAAAATGGTACATCAGATAGAAGAAGCCAGTCAGAAAGTCCACATATATGGTTCAATTTATGTGAAACATCCAGAAGAGACAAATCTCCAGCGACAGAAAGATTAGTGGTTGCCAGGGGCTGGGGATGGGAAGGCAGTACTAATGGGTACAGAGTTTCTTTCTGGAGTGGTTAAAAACTCTGGGATAAGATCGTGGCAATGTCTGCACAACTCTGTGAATATACTAAAAACTACTCAATTGTACACTTGACATGGGTGAATTTTATATGTTAACTATAATTCAATGAAGCCGTTATTAAAAAACAAATAAGTGGATACACAATAAAAGAAACCTGTGCTTTCTCTGCTCTTTCCAAATCTAAGGGTTTAAATCAGTATTTTGTCCTTATTCAGCTAAATGTTAACAGACTTAGAGCATGCTAGAAGATACTGAAGTTTATATTAATACAAAATAATACTAATAAAAACTTTAATGGAAAAAATACACTTTAAGGTCTAGCTTACCTATACTCTAAAAAGTAACCATGTAATTCAACAAATATCTTGTATTCATTATGCTGATTTAATACCTGAATTTTTACAGGTGAGTATAAATTTACACAGTCAGAAACTTCTATTTGGAATCCATGGCAGATTTAGTGAAAACGTTCAATATTAAACTCATAAATGATCATCCTTCACCTTGATATCCTAAATAAAATTGGGGGATCAAAAACTTTTAACTATCGGGGCACCTGGGTGGCTCAGTGGGTTAAAGCCTTTGCCTTCAGCTCAGGTCGTGATCCCAGGGTCCTGGATTCGAGCCCCGCATCAGGCTCTCTGCTCAGCAGGGAGCCTGCTTCCTCTTCTCTCTGCCTGCCTTTCTGCCTACTTGTGATCTCTGTCTGTCAAATAAATAAAATCTTAAAAAAAAAAATAATAAAAACTTATAACTATCTACCTGCTGAAACACACACACACAGAGAGATTATTTCAGAGGATTTTAATGAATTACACGGACAAATAAGAAATATTTCTATTTAAGAATATGTATCCATACCATTAAAAAAAAGTTGACTTTTCTGTCTTACGGCATAAAAATGTTTTACTTAGCCAAAAACAAAATCAATTAAGAATAGACATAAAAATGCCCGTTTTAATTAACCTTGCCATACATGACCACCGCCAGGAACTAGTCTTAACAAACTGGTTGACAGATATATTCAACCATACCAGCACAGCTCTGGCAACTCGACTAATTGACAGGAAATCTTTTTCCAGTCCTAAAGCAACATGAGGCACAGGGGTGGGATACTCATCCCCTGTGTGGAAATACCGCTCTGTAAGTCAGGCCAAAAGTAGTGCCCATCACCTTCAGTCCTAGGGACCCCTGATGAACTTGGCTCTGAACCTTGCACATGCAGCAAGTCACGTAACCCCTGTGGAGGTGCAGTGCCCTTTTCTCTTTATTTATACTCCACAGTGTTCTCTAAAGAAGCTAAAATTGCTGAGTTTTGGTTCATCTATTAAAAAAAGGTAATGAGGGTAGTATGTACATACAAAAATTTGTACAGAAGAGCTCCTAATGGTCCAAGAAGTGGAAACACCCAAATGGCCATTGTTTATCCAAACAAAATGTAGTGTCCCCACACCGTGGAATACTATTTGGTCATAGAAAGGAATGAAGTACTGATACATGCTATACCACAGATGATCCTCGAAAACACTGTACAACAATTAAGAATAAAGACCAAGAAAGAAAGAAAGAAAGAAAGAAAGAAAGAAAGAAAGAAAGAAAGGAAATGCTATGTTACAGTGACAGAAGACAGATGTGAGGACCACATATTACATTCCATGAATGCAATGTAAAATGTCCAGCACAGGCACGCTGACAGAGACAGAGAATAGATGAGTGGTTGCTAGAGGGCTGGGAATTGAAGGGTGTCAGCTAAAGGAGACAGGATTTCTTTGGGGGATAATGAAAATGTTCTACAAATCAAATGTGGTGATGGTTGCACAACTCTGTGAATATACCGGAAGCCACTGAATGATACCCTTGTAATGAGTAAACTGTATGGCTTGTGAATTACATCTCACAAAGAAAGCTATTTAAGAGAAACAAAGCCACTGGCTCAAAATCCTAGGGTCACGTTCTAGTTCAGTCTGTATTCAACAGGGTCCCCGCTCACCTGCAGTTTGGAAGTCAATCTCAATAGGATTGGAGAGACTGGTGGCTGCTTCTCGCCACAGGCTGCCCCGGACAGGAGACCAGGCTGTCACCATGCAGCGGTACAGCCCCGCATCGGAGACCTGAGTCTGGTACATTCGGTATCGAAATTCATCTTCCTGTACTTTCTCTAACACAACGCCATCCACCCGTGACGCATCTGTCCAATTCTCCAGCTTCACCACAGAATCCTGGTCCAGGGAGATGATGTACTTGGTTTCGTTGGGACTGGAGAGGTCCCCCACAGGCTTCTCCGCAGTGATGAGAACAGAGTAGCGTGGTGATTTAATATTCTTGGAAGACACTTTGCAAGTCATCTCGAATGTATTTCCCGCGGCAAAGAAAGGCTTCGGCTGCCTTGCCTTCACCACGAGCACAGAATCTGGAAGGAAGTACCAGAAAGAGGTGATTCCCAACAGGACTAGTGAAAATGGATATGCATCTGAAAGCACAATGACTCGGAAATTGGAATTTATTTGCAAATTGCCGCACAATAGCATTTAAGAAAATCTAGAGACTCAGAAAGAAAATCACGTGTATCTGTAAGTAGGCTACAAACCACCCTGCTGGATGAAGCAGAACAGTCTGAAATGATTTAATGGGTGTGAGAGAATCCGGCAGACTGCTGGGATCCTTACGGATGTGAGGCAGGGCTCACGGTTCATGAATAGGAGGAGATGTGCCGGAACCTAACTCCCAAGTCCGGCTCTAGACCATGCCAAGACCTCTCCCTGAGGTTCTGCTGGGGAAAGCGCAGGGAAAGTCTGCTTGAAAGATCAGGGCAAGGGAGATATGGGTTCTTTCTGTTAAATCTATATGACGGTCACAATACAGAACAGATTGTGGGTCAGGGGAATGGAACACACACCTGTCCGTCAAGTGATTTCCACAGAGAGGACATTTTAACATTTTGAGCAAGTGTCCATGGCTACGTTAACTTTAGGTTAAAGTATGTTACCCCCTGCTTCTCTGTGAAAAAAGAAATCCCTAATCATATACACATTAGAAGCCATCTATATTCTAATGGCTCACGGTCAGGCACTTGGAAGGTACTTAAATATTTGTTGAATGGATGAATAAATGAATTAAACACAGGCTTTTTATCCTTTAATAAGATTATTAATTCTATAATCTGTCTCATTATAAAACAAAATTTTTACATTAGGTTTGGTAGGAATAGCTGTTCTGCCAAACCTATTAAGCAGAACATGTATGTCGGAGTCTCTCTCCACGCTCACGGATGCCTGAGGTTCCACTGAGCCCCCTACATTTTTCCTGATTCTCCTGTGAGTTTGGTAATCCAACCATTCATTGAACAAGTATTTAGTGAGAGCCTCCCGTATTCCAGGCACTGGGAATGCCACAGTAAACAAAGCATACAGAAGTCCCTCCCTTTATATGCTAGTGAAGGAAGATGAACACAATAAGGAACACAAATGGCATGGTTAGATGGTGATATGCTTGAGAGAATAAAGCAGGGAAAGAGGAGAAAAAGAATGTGTGTGTGCGGGCAGGGAGAGACATCATAATTTTACACAGAGTGGCCAGGGATGGCATCCCTCGTGAGGCATCAAGGAGCTGCGGAGGTGAGGGAATGAGCCCTGTACCCGTGTGGGGAACAACAACCTAGGCAGAGGGAAGAACGGGCAGAAAGCCGAAAGGCAGAGGTATGCCCAGGATGCTGGACGCACCATGGGAAAGGCGGAGGGGCTGAAGAGGAGTGAGCATGGGGGAGAGTTATACGTGAGGTCAGAAGATAAGGGGAGCTAGATGCCATAGGGCATGCAAGGCTACCAAGAGGACCCTGGGTTTTGCTTTGAGTCAGATGCGAAGTCTTTGAAGGTTAGGGCAGAGAAGTTTCATCATCTGACATTTTAAGAGGCTGCCCCAGCTGCCATGTGCATGGGCAGGAGCAAGGAGAACAGTCAGGAGGGCAGTGATGTAATCCAGGCAGGAGGTAGTGGTGTCTGGCTAAAAGGGAAGCATGGCAGGGGCAAGACTCTGAGTACCCGGGAAGGATGAGGAATTGAGGATGAAGGTTTTGGACTGAACAAGTACAATGAAGGTGCCAGAGAAGGCCAAAAGAAGACCAGAAGCACCATCCTGAATGGGAGTTGGAGATGCCCGTTAGACAAGTGGAGGTGCCAACGAGGCAACAGAGTGTTGAATCTGGCATTCTGGGAAGGAGTCTGGGTTAGAAATATACATTTGGGAGTTCCTGGTGTGTAAGCAGTGTTTCAGTTCATGAGGTTAGAAGACATCACCAAGAGAGGGAAGTCAACTAGAGAAGAAGTCCGACAACTATGTCTTGAGGCAGTCTCATGTCTCAGGCTCAGGAAATGAAAGATGCAGCAAAGAACGTGGAGAAGGAGTTGCTGTGAGGTGGGAGGAAAGCTCGGGGAAGGGGCGCCCCACAGCCAAGGTATTTCTGGGAGGTGGGAACGACCACCTGTATTAAATCCCGCTAAGTGAGATAGTGAACAACAGAATTTTGTAGGATGTCAGTCACTACTGATCTTAACACGGGGACCAGGGGCAGAAGTTTGATCAGAAGCAGGCACCAGAAAGAAAAGGAAGAGAGAAAGTGGAGACGCTAAGTATAGACAAATCAAACGCTTTGGCTGTAAAAGGAAAGAAAGAGCAATGGCTGGGGGCAAAGGGCTTTGGGGAAGGGGAAGACAGAGGAGGGAGAAGTAAAGTGAAAATTACTTTACAAAATACAAAAGCAGGAACAGGTGTTTAGAGGCCAACAGGAAAGGTCCAGAGAAGACAGGAATATTGATGACATAAAGAGAGACAGGCCTCGTGCTCGACCAGTGAGAGGGCCTGGCCTTTGCTAGGACATAGGCTGCGGGCAACCCTGTAGAAATGCTCTTTAGGGAGAGAGAACCCAGGACCAACAGCTGAGGGTGAGGCCGGGAGAGAAGGTTTTCAGTCAGGGAAGGTGGTATGCAATAATCGTTTCGGAGAGCAGGGAAGTAAACAGATTATGGAAATGCAGAATGATTGCCAGGCAGCTAAGAGAACCCATTGACAGAAACAATCACAGACTTAAAGTGAAGCCAGTCAACACGTTTAAATGTTTTTATCCAACTACAAATGTAGGTAGGGAGGTAAAAGAAGGTTGGCTTTGGACTGCCTTGTGGTCTGACCAGAGCATAATGCAAAATTAAGTGGGGCAAGGGAGACTGGGGTGCAGGGGGTCCAGGAATCTAAGTGGCATGACTGCCTGTCTAGTCCTCTCTTCCACCCCTGGACATAATCTAAGAACGGAAGAGGGTACTAGAAATGACACAGGGAACGGAGCCTGGGTGGCTCAGTCATTAATGTCTGCCTTCGGCTGAGGTCATAATCCCGGGGTCCCAAGATTGAGCCCTGCATCAGGATCCCTGCTTGGTGGGAAGCCTGCTTCTCCCTCTCCCACTCCTCCTGCTTGTGTTCCCTCTCACTGTGTCTCCCTCTGTCAAATAAATAAATAAAATAAATCTTTAAGAAAGAAAAGAAATGACACGGGCCAGCAGGCGCAGAATGGACTGCCCTGGATAGCTGGTCCAGCTACATGAGAGAGAAATGGAGGCCAACACAAGGCGGTAGGGTTCATGGTGAGCTACAGGGGTGACGCTGGAGGCGTACAGGGAGTGATCTAGAAAAACAGATGGTATATTTAGAGAAGAGGATGCATGGAATTGAGAGCATGGAGGGCTTTCAGCTGTCACAACTGAAATGGTCTACTGGAGGGTGTGAGACGGGAGAAAATGACCAAACCAGAGGGAAGACAAGATGACTCAAGCGGAGGATGGGGGACCGAGAAGGAGACATTGATCTTCACCAGGGTTCCCAGCCCTGGCTGCTCAGGAGAACTGGCTTAAAAATTCCAAAGCCCAGGGGCGTCTGGATGGCTTGGTCAGGTAAGCATCCAACTTTTAGTTTCTGCTCAGGTCACGATCTCAGGATCGTGGGATAGAGCCTCGCACAGGGATCCGCACTTAGCTGGAGTCTGCTGGAGATTCTCTCTCCCGACCGTCCCTCTCCCCATCTGAGCGCACCTGCTCACGCACTCACAGACATACACACATACATGCATGTATCCATAAAATGTTAAAAAGAAAAAATCCCAACGCCCAAGGTTGTATAACCCTCAGACCAACTAAGATAGGCCCTCTGGTGGGACTCAAGCTTCAGTGTTTTTTTTTAAAGCTCCTCAGATAATCATGAGGTGCGCGGTCCGAATGTGGGCCAGCATTTTGTGTGGAGAGAAGCTACGAGTCAGTGAGAGCACCAGAGAACACGGCTGTGACACAGAAGTTAACCACTTCCCCGAGGGAATGAGGAGAACCCAGGAGTCCAGTCAGTGGAGAGGGGCACGAGCTGATGAACAGGTCCTGCTGTATGAGGAGAGTGAGAAGGAAACCCCTCTGCTCAGGAGACCCCAGGGCCAACAGTGGCCTCCGCGGGGGGGCAAGGTTGGTCATGTTTACTGTGGGAAAGAGCAAGGAAGGTTCCAAGCTGAGTGTCAGGCAATAGGAGATTCTGCCGAGTCTCAGAGAGCCCTGTTTGGGGTTGGGGACAAGGAGAGGGTGGCAATCAGTCAACTGAGGCATGTCAAGGGGCATGTGGTCCTTCACATCCAGGGGCACAAGGGGGACCTAGGAGGCCCGGGCTTCCTGTCATGCTGGACTTAACAAGTCTGATGTCCCAACACAGTGTTCTGAGGATCAAGAGGAGATATAGCAAAGAAACCGTTTCCCTTGAGTTCTTATCACCCCTCCCCAGAAACAATTTTTCTGACGGAGTGACTGGCACCTCAGGGGTATGTGCAATAGTCTGGGCCCCCCAACTTTACCCCCTACCCCCCCGTTTGTGGCACTCACTGCACCCAGTAGGAACTCCCAGACATGAATACACCCCAAGGCCCAAGAGCACCCGGCAGAGCAACAGTGACAAGGGCTGTGGGCACCACGAGACCATCGTCAACAGCCACCAAGCATCAGCTCTCTCCCTAGGACTGAGCCTTCACTGGCGTCAGCATCTCAAAGGGGTTCATGCTGTTTTTAGAGCAGTAGTCACCTGAGCTCACATTTTCTTGGATTCCTAGCAGGGAGACCCAGCATATAAAACCACGCAGTGGGACGACATGGGCCACAACAAAAACCCCAAACCTCAGCGAACAAGAATAAAGCGCCCACCTTCGGATGCCCAAAATATGGTGACGGGTTTGGAGAAGACATCCTTGCTCTTCACCCAGCTGTCGTTACGCTGTCTGGTCCACGCAGACACAACACAGTAATAATTGCCTCTGTCTTCCTCTGTAGTCCTTTGGATTCGGAAACTGAACGTGTCTGTGTGCTCCTTAGAAAAAATGAAGTCTCCGTCCTGGGCGCGCTGCTTGCTCCGGTCCCCATACTTGAGTGTCCAGTCCCCATTCATGACCGCCAGGAGCTCGCTGGCCACCACGTCGTCGCTGCGCCGGTTCACCCTGTAGTACCAGGACACGGTGAAGCGGACGCTGGCCTCCGAGCTCTTCACGTCCACTATCCGGCACTCCAGCTCCGTGAGGTCGTCTGAAAACTCAGGGACTTTCGAAGCATTCAGGTACACTTGGTAGTCTGGTTCTGAACGAGAGAGGTGCCAGGATAAAAACAAAACAAAAAAACAAAAAATCAGACAGCAGCACACTAAGAATGAGCAGAAGGAACAAGGCAAGTGCTACTCTTGTCCAGATAATCAAATGCCTGTCCTACTAACTACAGTGATGGAAACGGAAGTCTTCGCCCTGGATAGGAAGGATCCAGGAAGAGTCTGTTACGGAAAAACTCGTACAACACCGCGCCACCATGGTCCCCAGGACACCTTCCAAGGTCAAAGCCAAGTATCTGCAATCTGAGTCTGGTCCTTTCCATAGGGCTGGGAGCTGCCGTCAGTGACCCTGGGGGTGAGTCCTCCGAGAAGGATCTAAGATGCTCAGGGCTCACACTCCACCAAGGTTTTGCGTAGAATGCCAAGCAGAGCCCACAGACCTTCAAAGCCGCCTGCTGGGGCAGCACACGAAAACCCCATCCCAGAGTACATACTAGCACTTGAGGCCAGTCCCCACCCAGGCCTGAGCTCCTGCCATCCCTGGCCAGGCTCCAAAGGCAAGGCCCTCGGGGCATCATTCCCCCTGCCGATTCTCATTCTCACCTTCCTAGTCCTCTGACTTTTTCAGCTCAGTCTGTGCTCAGTGGTCAATAAAGAGCCATCCTCGCACTCCCGAGATGACATCTCCAAGCGGCCACACGTAACCCTCTCACACAATTCTCCAACCCTGAAGCTGGCTCCTGTAGATGCCGGCTCCAGTAAAGCCCACTCCCTTAGGACCACCCCACTCCCCTGCCCAGGACAAATTCTGACAGGGGTGCAAGGAAAGCCAGCCCAGTGCCCTGCCGCCGTCGCAGCTTCTCTTCACTTCTGTGGAAACCCCTTCTTCCTCTGACATTCCCTGCACCCGTTTCATCCGTTTTTGGGACTCTACATTTCTGTCTTCGCAGACCCCTAGGCCTTCCTCCACGCTTGCCAAGAACTGGTGTTGGAACCTCTCTGTCGCCTTCCTCCCTCTGTCCCCACCCCCTCCCCAGGTCATTTCCAACGACCTGAGGAACTCCAGCCCCCATACCGTGTCACACCACTGTGGTCACCTACCAGCAGTGGCCTTCTCCTCTTGACCACCCTGCAAACTTCCACTCATTCTTCGATGTAACCTCCTCTGGGGTCCCCTCCTAGGTCCCCAAAGCATGGCCCCCTTTCTCCATGCTCCCACAAGCTGTGGAGGGACACTTGGTCAACAGCAGCCCCTCCCTTTTATTACAGGTTGGGTCCCCAAGCTCCAAATACACAGCCTTGTATGCAGTAGGCACTCGGTCAGTGGTGTGCTGCCTGGCTTTTAGGGAAAGCTACATCTTTCTCTTGTGGCACATGGCCTACTAGAACATGATTTCTCCCTGAATAGAACTTTCCATCTGCCACCACTATCTTTATTCCCAACACCTCAATCAAACAGTTTATTTAACATTGCTTTTATTTATGACTCATTTGGATTATAAACTGCTGAGGTCAAGGAACAGTTCTTTTGTGATTTACGCTTCTAATAAAATGTGTAACATCATGACTTCTCTAAGAATGATTCACTGGCCAGGAAATGGAGAGAACTCAAAATCCCAACTCCTTCAAATATCATCCTCACGAGCATTTAGTGCCCCGAGGATGGTCCCCATGGCATATATAATAGTTAAACCAGTGGGCCCCGGCCGCCACCAGGAGCCCGCAGCGTCATGAGGTGGACACTGTGCAGGGACACCACACACTGCTAGAATGTCACCCTGCCTTCTCCCCCAGCAGGCGAGCGTGCCAAGGTTGTACAGCTCAGGGGTGTCCTGCCTCCTGGCCAGAGGGCTAGCACCCCACACTGCTTCTGAGGTGACACCGTCTACGGGATAAATACCACCGAAATGCCTTGACGCCCTCATGTGCAGAAGACAAGGTGCTCCCCGTGACCCCACATCTCAGGCTTTAGACTCTTCTCTCCCGGAGAGCAACCCAAGGGCAGGTAGGAAACCCAGGTTCCTCCCACATGGCAGGGACAGCCCTGCGGGCTGGCTGTGCACGGGGCACAATGGCACCCCTCCATCAGGGCTGGCCGGGGACGCCACACCATCACAGGTGCTCAGGACACAGCAGCGGCTGCCACTGGCACTCACGGAGCCCGCCTCCCATGTGGAGCATCATACGGAGACCCTTCCCGTGCTCCCCTGTTACCCTGAAAGACAACCCGAGGCCGTGAAGAGCAATGGTGAAGAGCCAGGGACCTGGAGCCAGACTGTTGGGATCCGGCTCAGCCAACCACTTGCTGTGTACTCAGGCACATTCCCTCACCTCTCTGGTGCGTCACTTGTGAAAACAGAGGGAGTAACAGTAACCAGCTCACAATGCGGCTGTGAGGATTAGAAGTCAAAACATACAGGGGAGGGGCACCTGGGTGGCTCAGTGGGTTAAAGCCTCTGCCTTTGGCTCAGGTCATGATCCCAGGGTCCTGGGATCGAGCCCCACATCGGGCTCTCTGCTTAGCGGGGAACCTGCTTCCCTCTCTCTCTCTGCCTGCCTCTCTGCCTACTTGTGATCTCTGTCTGTCAAATAAATAAATAAAATCTTTAAAAAACAAAAACAAAAACAAAAAACATACAGGGGTGCCCAGCCAGCTCAGTCAGGAGACTATGTGCCTCTTAATCTCGGGGTTGTAAGTTTGAGCCCCATGCTGGGTGTAGAGATTACTCAAAAAGAAAGTAGTTACACATGAAAGTGCTTAAACTAGTGCCTGGTACGTGTCCGTATGTATATATTCACACACGTATATACACACATACGTACGTATCTGTGAACTGCTGTTCACCATCCAAAGCTTCGGAGAGTCAGTCACATGCCGATACAGCTCAAAAGTGGCAAATCTGAACCTGGGGCCATGTGCCTCTTATCACCTTTCAAGCATAGCTGCACCTCACAGATGGGCCAAGCTCCCTGTCTTCTGAATTCCTTATTTTCTCCCCACCACTGACTGGCTCATAACCGGGAGCAACACAGAATGCCATGACTAGCAATGACAGGACTGTGGTCTGCCACCAGGGATTGGACCCAGGAAGACCGCACCCCAGAGGCCATCCTCTCAGCCTGGATGACCTGCACCATCCAAATGGCCAGGAGGCAACCTATGAGATTTCCCTTCTGTCTCATCGGTCACCAGCTCTTAGGAAGAAACCCCTCGGTCCTTCAGGGTTTACTTCCTTCCCCTGAGCATAATCCTCCGAAGTGGCACTTTGAAAATTAAGGCTGTCCAAGTTAGCACAAAAGATGGTAGAGAAGCGGTGAACTCAGTGGTCAGACCATGGGACACACGAAGGAGGCAGGCAAACTAGCTCCCGTACCATCCACCTGAGCAGCCCTCTCCCTCTCCTCCTATACCCTGGCCTGGAAACACCCAGGGTGCACTCCCTGGACCAGAACCCAGATGCTCCTCTGGGTTCTTCCTTAGGCTCAGACCCTAACACAGGCACAGAGTGGGCTACTAGGCATCTCGGTTTCATGCTTCCTTGGCATCACCAGCACAACTGTACCCTAATCCCCTCGGTCCCCACTTGCCTCTGCCAATGCACATGTGCATGCACACACATGTGTGCAAGTATACAAATATGTGCACACATTCACACACTCACACATGTGTGCACACATGTGCAGGTATACACACAAGCACACATTCACGCATGCATGCACGCACACGTGTGTATACACACGTGCACACATTCACACTCGTGCATGCATGCACACGTGTGCAATTCACTCACACATACATGCATGCACACACATGTTTAAGTATGCACACGAGCACATTCACACTCATGCATGCACGCACACATGTGCATGTATACATACATGAGCACACATTCACACACTCATACATGCATGCATGCACACACAAGCACATATTCCTACACAGGCACACTGGTTCATACACGCACACACATAAGCACACATCCATACACACACACACACAGCTGACTCCCACTCCAAACAGAAACGGCCAACTCCTCCTCCTAACTCCTCAACCACTGTTCCTGCTGCCACACCTAGCACTCACTCTGGTGATCACTTCTGCTAGAAATGTGTGCCATCCCCAACTCTCCACTCTGAGGGTCCCTAGCTCTCACATGGCTCCCATTCCGGGACTTGTGCACAGGAGATGATTTATAAATAATCAGTGAACAGAAGTGGGAACTTCATGAACACCATCCTCATCTGGGCTCTCTTTGCCTCCAGCCAAGACGATGATAACCGCCCAACACAAATCTAGGCAGACAAAGGTATCAGGTCACCTGCACAATAAACCTCCCTTGGCTTTTCTTCCCACCTCCTGAGTAAGAACACACTCCCCACAAAGTGCTCATCAGTGTGAGTCTAACTCATCTGCCCAGCCTCACCGCCTCCTGCCTTCTGATACATATTCTACGCCCCAATGAGACCACAGCTCTCACCATTCCCTAACCACCCCTATGGTTCCTGGTTTTCTGCCTCCCTTCCCACCGTTCCCTCTGCCTCAGCACCTGGGACACCTGCCCAGTTCGTTGCTGAACAGAAGACTGAACAGACTCTCCCATTCTACTCCAGCCTCTCCTCCTCCAAGTGAGTCCGTTTAAACCCTATGGTTCCAAATACAGAGAAAGGTAAGCACAGCGGGGTCATGATGTATGTGCATCTAGTGATAGGAACCACAGCTTGGCAGGAGAGGAGAAGCCCTTCGCTGACTGATGGTCTTATTTTCTGTTCAGTCAGTATAGACTGAATCCCAGGCCCCCCCAAAGGGAGGACCTCAATGCAAAGGCAAACAAAAATCAGTGGGTTCTTGGCTTGGGAACGCAACACACAGGTTCCAGGGATTTAAAGGATGTTCGAAGGTCATCCGGACCACCCACCAGCCTTCCAGGTCGACTTTCCACTTGTACTCCTGGAGAAGCTGTGGCTCCACTATGTCCCAATGGCAGGAGTACAGGGGGGGTTCTTCTTTGGTTTTTGTTTTACTGCACGTGTAGAC